ACTAATTATATAAATACAATTCCATCAATGTTTACACTATTAAAGAAATATATAAAACGATCATCAAGCACATTCCCAATTTTGATTTTTATAAGAGACAATAAAAAACTAAAAAAAAAAAAAAGAAAAAAAAAACAAAAAAAAAAAAAAAACAATTACATCTTAACTGAAAAACATTGCAGTATTATTTACATCTTCATAATAAAGGGAAGAAAAGTAACTAAATATTCGTTCCAAGTACATATAGCTGACTATTTGGACAACCATGTCAACCATGTCAATATAAAACACATAGCTGTGGACTACCATAGCGACAGACACAGGGGTTTTTATAGCATATAGCTGTGACTATTTGGACTACTATAATGTCAGACACAGGGCAGATACAGCATATAGCTGTGGCTGTTTGGACTACTATAATGTCAGACACAGTGGCAGATACAGCATATAGCTGTGGCTGTTTGGTCTACTTTAATGTCAGACACAGGGGCAGATACAGCATATAGCTGTGGCTGTTTGGACTACTATAATGTCAGACACAGGGCAGATACAGCATATAGCTGTGGCTGTTTGGACTTCTATAATGACAGACACAGGGGCAGATACAGCATATAGCTGTGGCTGTTTGGACTACTATAATGTCAGACACAGGGGCAGATACAGCATATAGCTGTGGCTGTTTGGACTACTATAATGTCAGACACAGGGGCAGATACAGCATATTGCTGTGGCTTTTTGGACAACCATAATGTCAGACGCAGGGGCAGATTCAGCACATAGCTGTGCCTGTTTGGACTACCATAATGTCAGACAAAGGGGCAGATACAGCATATAGCTTTTAATTTGGCTACATCATAATCAAAGCCAGAGATCGTGCTCTCCTTTAACAATCATGACGCATTATTGTTGCTATATATTCATACAGTGTTGTAGTCGATATTTCACAAATGTCTTTGTTTCAGGCAATTAGCAAGCTATTTCCAATACATATCTTATTGATCGATTCAAACAAACGTCACAATATTTAAGTGGTGGGCTATTTAGGTTCAATGCTTTATTTGATACACTCATCCTGATCCTATTGGTAACGATTTCAATAGTTGAAATGATGATATAATTTTTTTTGTAGTTAAGGCAAAATGTAATGGTAGGATATTACGTCATCGTGCACCTTGCAAAATACCCCTAAGGGGACCTTTTTTTTCTTTTATGTTTTTTTTATTTATTTTATTTTATTTTTTTTGGAAAACCCGTCGACTCGATGGTAAAATGTGGTTGTATTATAAGAAATCGTTAGAATATCAAAATATAATGTAGCGCACCAATGATTGGCTTTAGTAGATCTAGACCTATTTGATGTAAGTTTTACTGCCTAGTTTAGTTCTGAAAACGGGATAAAGATTTGTTTATGCAAAATGCTCCAATTCGGACTCCAAAACAAACTTGATCCCGTTTTCAGGCTTAAACCAGACAGTTAAATTTAAAACTTATAAACTGTTGTATCAAGTTCTAAAACCAATCTTTGATGCGAAACATCATATTTTTGGATATTCTAACGATTTCTTAGAATAAATTTAAAACATACATGCATTCTAACTTCGCGTCCATGTGATTTTTCTACGTGCGTGATGACGTAGTATCCAACCATTGAAATGCGCTCTTAAGAGCCGTTTGAATTTCTTTCCACTTTCATGCTGAAATTGTGTATGTGCTTTGCTTTTCTTAGTACATAGCCTGGTCAGTCTGCAAAGATCGATGTACACCCAGGACTAACTCTGTACTGGTTTTTTAAGGCTGACACAATTTGGTCCAAGCTGGTTGTGTTATTTTAGAGATCTTTTTACAACATATACAGAATTTTTAGTTATTACAGTTTTCAGAACATGTTCAACTCGAATTCCATCAAAACCTTTCTTTAAATAAAGATTGGGATGAAATTCAATTTTATTACATAAACGTGACCATTAGATTATAAATAGGAAAAACATTTAAAAAATAACAAGGTAATTAATCAAAATGATTATAATGCTAATAGTTGTATTTGAAATGAAACTTTACAAAGGCACAAGAACATTATGTAGAGTGAAGAACAATATTTAGCCCATAAGGAATGAAAGTGCCAAATTGAAGATTCCATGATCATCGTCGTATTAAAATATCAGTGACCAGTATTTCACTATTGCCATGACTGTAAAAATGTTGAATATCGCTTTTAAAAGTCGGTGCCACGGTCAACAACATATCCGGTACAGTTATTTGGTGGCTATTACTTAAACAACAATACTGTTAAAGTGAACTTAGCACAAAATATTATACATTACCTCTTAAAGCACCGCTAAATGACGTAAAATCCTCTGCAGTTAAATATCGCAACATTTTTTTTAACGAAATCTGGCTCCCTGTCCTATTATAGTCCAGTCATAATTTATATAGCCAAACCTCAAACAAATTGCAACAGAAAATGTTTTGAGTGTTTTGAGTGTATAACAAATCAAAAGTCTAGAAAAATCTAAGTTGACATATATGCATGGGTATCTTCGTATTTATTTTCCTAATTTGAACTCAAAATAATACACACATACAAATGTCCAATCAGTTTCGTATATACATGTAATATGTATTGAAATGTAGCTGAATCTATCCCTATAATGGCATAGGGTAATCAAAATTTTTTAAAGAAACTACTTTTACCTAAACTTAAGTGGGTGGGGTAATACTAATCTTCTACATAGCTGTAGATCAACAAGTTATTACACCATTTAACTGAAAGACGTACTCGTACGTTACATGACTTTAAACAGAATATACATAATGGTTTATGTACATGTGAAAAATGTCAAGTTTTTTTTTAATTTAATACATACCATCAATATTGAATGCATACATTGAACTATTTATATTAACATTGTGCAAATGGTGGGTGGGGGTAATCTTATACAAACTAAAGAAACATTGAAGTAATATATATTATCTATGATCATGATATTAAGTTTTTTATTTACTTAAATACTTTCATGCACATTGATTTGCTGTAATTTATTCTGAGTCATTAAATATCATCATGACATTGGGTCAAAGGAGGTGACCTTGATTTTTTCGAGGTCAGTTTCAATTGTTTGATACAGTTGAACATAAAAAATCACAAAAAAAATCTTTGCACATTTTAATCTTTGAAATATCTTCGCCATGGACACGCATAAGAGATCATGACCAATATTTGCCGAAGGTTAATGTAAAACCCGAAAAATGTCATGTTCAGATCGATTTGACGCCGTTTGAATATTGTGTTATTGTGTAATAATTTTTTAAACGGTTTGCGATTGCAACTTTTATTTATGCAAAAATGTCTAGACATTAAGGTGTCGGAAAACGGCAATTTCTTAATATTCGTCAACTGTGCACACAGCCTCCCTTAGAAACATCTAATAGGATAAAAGATATTCGACACAAGCACTGACACTTGGGGTTTGGAGCTCAAAACGCCTTTAAAATCCAAATAAAATGCAAATTTGTCAATCCTAACACATGTACTGATCATATAAATATAAAAAAACTTGATATATACGTTTTGAAAAAAAAATCATATTTCAACATCTATAATTATTATAGAATGTTGAAATATGAAAGACTAGCTGTAATCTTAAAGATAATACATGTCATTGGAATAGAACAATACGCGTGACGTTAACGTTCTCCGTCCGTCGCTATGGCAATTGAAAAATACAATTGTGCTATCAATATGCGGCCTTGCAAAAAACTTGAATGCGATTTTTCAAATAAACATATGACTTTAGCATGCATTTTTTTATCTAATTAAATGAAATGAAACATATATTTGATACCTTCAACTTTTAGATGTGTATGAATTTTAACCTGCACCCCCACCCCCCTTCACCCCACATACACACCCGTCCCACAGTAATCAAATCAAGTAACCGTTCAATAGTCATGGGTTTAGGTTGTAAGCACACTTACGGTGCATGGCATCGGGAAAATTCCCTATGTAGAAGTACAATAAAGCATCAACCTTTTTTTTGCATACAGCTTGCTTATATAATGCATGTGGTACGCATAATGTATTTAATTATTATATTATTGAATTTATTGTTTAATTCTTGGTGTTTTGGTTATTGGTAGCTGGTTATGTATCGTTTTAGTTATCCAAGAACAGTACATTTTATAATTAAGATGTATTTTTTTCTAAAAGGTTTCTTGTTGAAATATTTTAGGTGTATTTATGTGATCTAAGTTGTTGATATGACACACGTTTATTTTTTTAAGTTTTAATTTAAAATTATAAAAAATGTTAAAAAATACCTACTGGCTTAATTAAGTGTATGGAAGTAATATAAAGTCACACATTCAGTTTAAAAATGCCACCTTTCAATTTTAAGTATTTCCAATGCTCATCCGATTAAAATGGATATAATTTTTACCACGGATTTATATTACATATAAATCCATGATTTTACATAGCATAGCAGTTTGTAACGTAAAATGAAATTTAGTTTGAATTTAGCTTATACTTTTTTTTAAATTGTAATATTTCTCTACCGGTGAACTCAAAAAGAATGTTTACTTATATGTTACTACGCCGCACGTTTTTCCATGTTCCTTTATTAAGGCAAAATAGAATAGCCGTCTGTCTGCTAGAAAAATACAGAGACATACTTATTATAATTAGTATTCTAATAGACATTGACAATTTGACAGTACTTAGCTTCCATGTCTTATATATAGATATATTCTCTTTCCATCGCATATATTTATGGAGACAAACAAATTATTGTTTTCTGAAAATATTGAAAATATACGTTTATAAACTGCAATTTAAGTACATTTTCAATTCAAACTCTATATTTGATATTTTACAAGTCACTTTCTTATTTTTGTATGCAAGAGAAAGGAAGAATACTCATATAGAAATTAGGCGAATAAATTTGGCCAATATGCATGGTTATTTATTATAATTTATATAATGAGTTGCTAATAATATACGTCTACAAACAGCACTTTTACTGTAAATTTCTATTAAAACGGTACAATTCAAATTCTAAAAGTCACTTTCGCTCAATTTCGTCAGAAATCTCACTTTCGTATTTTAGGCAAACCCCGGCAGGAGACCTTCAATTAGTAAGCCGGTTTCTCTATTCGGATATCTTGGATTTTTACGGGTCCATAGTTGACAAAGAAAGTGTAATATATTATTTTTCTGTTTTTCGAAGATGCCTTTTTATAGTTTATTGTTTTGCCTTAGTATTACTGTAAGAGACAATCATCAATCACATTTAATTGCTTTTTTCTTCCTCAGTTAAGGAGTACAGGTAACAGGGCATTTCAGATCCTAAACGTTTCGGTCTTAGACCTTTCGGCCCCAAAATTGGCAAAAACCCTTGTTCTTGAACAAAAATGTGAAAAATGTAATTATTTGTTATTTATAACTTATAGGCCTACTTGTATATCTTATCCAAAAGTTCTAGCCGTACGTGAGTCACGTACGACTAGCCAGGACTCGCTGCATTGTCTAGCCGTACGGCACTTTTCAAATTTATATAGAAATCGAAAATACATATGTTATTTCATGACTTTAAGCGAGGATTTTAACCAAGAAATAGTAATTGTCTTCGTATATTTACTTTAAATAGAGATTAATCGCCTTGTTGGCTACAGTATTGAGTAAAAAAAGTACGAATATCGATCTTTATCATCTCAAGACATCGAGAAAAAATAGCGTTAGGTCGCAGTTAAATAACATCAATTGAAATAGTTTACAAAATTTTGATAATAATCCTTTTTTGTTTCATAGAGTTTAATTTTCGACACCTTTAAAATGAAAAAAAAAAAGAAAGAAAATAATTATTGTTAGGCTCTGATATTTGCGTCAATTACCGACGGTATAGAAGTTTGTCCATTATTAAGGAAAGTTTGCATGTTCCGTGAAACGCATTTTAAAATTCTATTGTCAGTCCCTGGGTAGGCTTTATTTAAGGCTTATTAATTGATTGTGCTTTTATGTTCGATATTTATCTACTGTATTTGAAAATTATACAATTTATTTATTTATTTATTTATTCCACTCCGATCATTATTTATTCGATCCATGTGCTTAATTAACCAAAAATCATCTTTCAGTCAAATAAAACAACAAATCATAATCATGAGGCACAAAATAACACATGCATGATCGACTTCTATATAATTTTGAAAAGTGCCGTACGGCTAGACAATGCAGCGAGTCCTGGCTAGTCGTACGTGACTCACGTACGGCTAGAACTTTTGGCTAGCCGTACGGGCCCGTACGGCTAGCCACTTCCTATAACTAATACCAGATATGGTTGGGGAAATGATAAATTGATTCGTCCCAAATTCGTCGTAACCAATATGTTAAAAGTAATAAAACTGAAAGCCGGGGTTGTGGCACCCCTCAAATCAGAAGGTCAAACATTTACTGATCCAGTGGTAAAAGCAGATATCCTTAACTCCCAGTTTGAGTCTGTCTTCTCTCAGCCTCAGCCCCTAAGCTTATCCCAGGCTTGCAAACAGAAGTTTATTCCAATACACCACCCATCTATGCCAGAAGTATCTATATCGGAAGATGGTGTGAAGAAACTTTTAAAAGACCTAAACCCATATAAAGCTTCTGGTCCTGACCAAATATCCCCTAGGTTATTAAAAGAGCTCCATCAAGAGGTTACTCCCATACTGACCCACATCTTCCAGAACTCACTTAAAACAGGTACTGGTCGGGGACCATCAACCGGACACTTTTTGAACATTTTTCCGTACAGATTTCATAATTTTTAACCTAGAGACCTAAAAATTTGACACAGTTCAGTTAGGTTCTTCTCCTAACTAACAAACTAGTTTGTTTATCCCTGAATGTCTTGACACTTATATATGAGGCTCGACAAGAGGGTATCAAAATTACATAAATTGTCTACACTACAGTACCATGTGTCCGGACGGATATGTACATAACGTGATTTAATTCAGATAAAAGGTTGGGTGTTTTGATTTTTGATTTTTAACATGATATACAATATGTCGGCAACAAATGCTGAAGTTTTGGATATTCTATTGTTTACTCTGCAAATGATTAAAGCTGGTATATGACGTCAGGCATTGCTTTCTTGACCCCCAAATTTCAACGTCAACATTCTTGAAATAGACATTTAAATATTACCATTTACGGGGGTTGAAATAAATTTATTTACTAAATTTTAGAAGAAACATGCATTTATTGTTGATAAAAAAGTAACTGACAACCACTGAACAAAGAAAATACTAAATTAAGCATTTTCTGGGCCGTCCGGGTTTGATGGTTGTCCGGTTTTGGTGGTCCCCGACCAGTATTGTCCCAGAAGACTGGAAGCATGCAATAATTGCCCCAGTTTACAAAAAAGGCCCAAAATGCAAACCCAGCAATTACAGACCAATCTCCCTCACATGCATAGCGTCCAAATTGATGGAGCACATCTTAGTGTCCAATATTAGTCCTTTTATGATAAACCAACTTCTTAGCCACCTAATCATACAGGCTCAGTTCAAACGGATTACAGTTGAGAAGTCCCGCTAGTAAGCTTCTCCTCAGATATCTATGATCTAATCTTGAAAGTGAGCACAACAAACTGAATGTCATATAGCACTGATTCTGTAAGGCATTGATAAGGTGGACCTATCACAAATATAAAAACAAATCTTTGGAGAACTATGAAAGATATGTGTAATAAGTTAATTTAGGGTTACAAATTTGGCGTCCATTCCTATTTCTCTTAAATCACAGCTCTCCAGCAAGATAGTGTATTAGTTGAAAGTAAAAACCAGATATTCTACATTCTCTCTGATATCCCCCAGGTCTGTGGTACTTAGATCCCTGCTATATTCTCTTCTGTACATAAAATGACTCCCAATACAATTTGCAAAGGTAATTTTAGACTCATTTGCAGAATGAACTGTTGATTCAGCTTTTCCCAACATCAGATCTAAACAAAAGCCCCCCTCCTAATATGACCTTCATGCTTAGATTAAAAATGGTAAAAAGACTGTCCATGGATCAACCATCTGACGAATTAATATCATGATAAAACAAGAAAAAGAGAACCCTTAATATTTCCTTAATACCCTACACATAAAACAATCCAACGGTAACTGCAACTCAAAAGCAATAATACTTAGAAGTCACATATAGTCAAACCTGTTTCTGAACCAAACAGGTATAATCAACATCAACATCTAAACAAATAACTCCCTCAATCTATTAGAAACAAATGAAAACTCCAAATAAAAATATAATATAAATTACGTCGTAAGGCAGAGGCGGAATTATCCCTAACATTATGTAACAATTTTGTATTCAGTGTGACCAGAAACACAAATCCAAATATTTATACAATAAAATCTGTTTCATTACAAGGCAGATAACCAGTGTGCACTAGCATATATTAGCAAATGATATTAATGACATACATTATAGAAGAATAATAATAGTTTGCTGGGCACAGTGCGCGTCACAAATAATAAGCAACGTGACAGTATATTGAATATTACCCCATTACCCTACAACAAAATCACACCTAAAAATATTACCTTATATGGCAATCTATCATTAAGTCAGTGGCATACATCGGCAAAAGTGAATCCACCGCGATTGCCTTTAAAAAATTTCTTAGATAAGCAGTGCAAGCTGATGACATTTACAGAAATGATACCCAATAAAGGTATATCTGTTGACAGCGTTGAGATGGCTTCACAGAATTGATCCTGATAATTACTCTTACTATTGGCGTCCAATCTGGATCAAAAGCTTGAATTTTTACATGCTTGCTACTCGTCCATTGCAGAGAGTCAGAAATAACATATAAGCCTACCCAATAATGGCGTGGGGAGTTTTCGACGTAAAAAACCCAAAATACTACTCAGTTTTCCTGGAACACACGATAACAATAGAAGAATTGAACAATGACGAGACAGATATCAAAGTTATCAGACCTTTACAAAACACCATTGTCTGATTATAGAGAAAAATTGACTCGGCCATCATTGGGAATCGAAATTCATCCGCCGCTCCGCATAAATTTTTATGTGGACCGCTGAATTAAAGCGTTTCTTTGATTTTCTAAAATATAAAGTTCTTACGAAAGTTATACGCATTAAGACAACTATGATATACTTGATAAAGGTGGGATCTGCATCGAGTTACTTTGTATTAATCAAATATTAACAATATTACCTCAGGAGTGAAGAACCATATAAACCAACAGTAGTAACCATGCCACGGTATAATCTATGTACTTAATAATCAAGTTCCAGAAGACCTGTGAAGTGGATCATTTTCTGAGATATTCCACCTTCAATTTAAATACCATAAAGGATTTTCAGTGAATAGAATTTAAAAGCTCTTGGAACGGAATTCTAAGCAAGAAAAACAAGATTACAGGCCAGCATAAATGATCGCCCAAAAGAATTTGTAACAGCACAACCAGACTCCCCCATTACACATTTAGGAACTAACAGCTAAAAAGCTCAGTTAACACGAGTATCCATCTTTTATTATATTACACTGCTATGATACATAATTGTCATAATACTTAAATGACTGCAATATAGGTGCGAGTTATGGATTGTCATACAAGATATCATTCAATGTTAAATCGAGTGCTTATCTGAGCCATGTAGACAATGTACACTCTCATTTCGTGACCTTCTAGCAGATTTAGCCAAATTTTCAATTTTTGAAGTACCTCCCCGCTGACTTGAATATGCTACTTGACACTACACAACTTATAAATCTACCAGTCATCTCTCAAAATTATTGGATACTGTTCATCTAGGAGAGCAGCTAGACCAAGTGATAGTATTAATAGGAATATATCAGTGCACCATTTAAGTCAATTCCAACACACTTATTGATAGAATTTGAAAATTTATCATTAAGCCGTGACATGTGCCGGATACCTATATATATACGAACACTTTTCTATTTAAATGACCAAAGACACAATTCCTAATTACACCTTTTCAAAACTGAGCTACAGGTCAAGTTTATAACCAGTTGCACACGGCTATCTACTTCAATCGTATTACACACCCTGGTTCCTACTCAGTATATGACTGTAGCACTGTTTTCACTCACT